GGGTCCTCCGGAGGACCCGGCCTGTCGTTTTGGACACAGCCTATATTGCCTTATATGTATTAGCTCAGTGCTAGCGCGACAAACAAGCTAAACTGAGGTCCTGAGTCATTTCTACCTTCTCCTCTCTGTCAACGCTCTCTGGTGACTGAATGTCCGTACAGAAGCTCTAACTCTAAAGAAAGAAGAAAAACAAAGTAAATGTGTAGAATTACTGATTTAGTGGCCTCTTGTATTAAGATTTAAAGGATGAGAATTCATTTCATCGTTTCAAAATGAGTAAAAAGATGAACATAAGCAATAAATCATTGACACCCTTAAAAAAACAACTTCTGTCTGCAGCATCTAAGCTCTTCTATTATATTTATTTCATCTTGAGCCGTTTTAAACCAGTCTGGTCAAGCAGCAGCAGCTCTAAAAACTGTTTTTTTGCCTTCTTTCTTTGTGTTTTTTTAGGCTCTGACTAAGGTGGCGACCATTGTGGCTCAAACACTGTTTGTACAAGCTGGAGGAAGCGAAACCGAGTCACGTAGCATTCAGGCAGACGATCTGCTGGTAGGATGGGTTTTATATGCATCACTGAGTTTATATACGATGTGTCCGTGACCTTGAGCTGAACTAAGTATCTGTGTTTGGTCTCAGGTGAGCCGGATGCTGTACAGTTTTCTTGTTAGGTCCAATAACTCCTGGTTCCAGCAGTTCACYGCCTCTGAGCACGCAAAACAACTCAGTAAGTTCCCTTTTTGTCTTCATCTTRCAGAGAAATTGATTACATTTATTTATTAAATAGAGGCAATTACTGCCTGGTGTGGAAGTGTTAGTTTGGTATTTTATTTCTGTCAGGCGACCAAAGCACAAGCTTCTACGTCGGTGTGACTGATATGATGAGCGAGCCGACTATCCTCGTCCGGTACTTGTTGTCCAACCTGACTGGCAGCACCGTCAACGTCACTCAGGAAAACTGCAAAAACCAGAGGGAGGGTAAAGACGACCAGGAGAGCAAACACGTAAGATTTACAGCAGATTCACCCAGTAAAAAAAAAAAAAAAGAACAAGCGAAGCATTTCGTCACCTCTCGGCTCTTCTTTCAGATCTAYGACTACATCTGGGTTCAGGGAGCAGCGCCTCCCAACAGCACGGAGCGACAGGGTTTCTGCGTGCGCTCCACCGTTCGCGTGTCCAAAGCCCTCTCCCCGGCCTTTGAAATCAACGATTACACCTCCAAAAATTACTCCACGTGGACCGAGTCCAGGTGGAAGAAGATCAGAGGGCGCATCTTCCTGGTGGCCAGTCACGACCTGGAGGTAAATTTGTTCACATCCTGCATCGTCCTGATAGATGATTATTCATTGACACCAGGGGTGGAAATCATCAGGCACCTTGTGGTTAAATTCACATCTGATTCAGGGGGYTGTGATGGGATTAGAAAACGTATGAAGGATCTACGATTATCAGATTTGGGAATAAACATCAGCGGGCAAAGTTGATACATTGCGAAACTTAAATGCAGGAACAGAAATAATAAATAGACTCTTTTAATATAAGAAAAACACTGATGTGTGTGTAAAAAAAAAAAAATTAAAAAGAGTGTCCAAGAACCTATGGCACAAAACCCTGTTAATCACAAGCTGCTGACCAACAATTAGCACAGACGCTAACTTATGGAACACTAAAAATGCCATACAAAAGCTAAAATGATTAGCATCGTGTTTATCCCTGCAAATTAATACACAAATCAAACATTTCATTAAAGACAGTCCTGTTATGATAACTTCAACACTTATTTACAGACAAATATTCAGAGTTTGTTGAGGAAAAAGATGTAAAGAAAACAGCTCGACYAACAAACAGCACCGTGCAYACTCTGCTGACWCTTAAAGTAGAAGCTCAGATTCACGCTGAAAACTAATTCAGTAGTTTTCATGTCCTTTTAAATCTTTTAATTGAAGTCTTGGTTGTCAAGGAGCAACTTTCATAACAGCGAGCTACCAAACCAAACTCTGACAGAGACGTATCGTGTTTTGTTGAACACGCGTCAAGTCTCTGCACGTTCATCTGTGCATTGTGCTGCAATAAATCAGGGCCTTTCATCCCTGTTATCTCACCGTTTAAAGCTGCTGTGTAGAATTTTAATGAGTCTGAAGCGGCTGTTGGTTTAAAGTATTTTTATTTTTTTCGGTTTGACCCTTTTTCTCTTATTCTGACTCCACAGTATGGCCTGTGTATAACGTGAGACAGAACATCAGACATTTCAGACGGTTCTGAGTTTAGSTTCAGTTATAAAAGGATTGCTGTTTGATCACCACATTTCAGCTTGTTGCTTTTGGCAGGAGATTTTTTTTATGTGGACTTTATTCAAAAAATATTCCCAGCCTATTGAGAAACTCTTTGTTTTTTTTTTTTGTTTGTTTTTGTTTTGCTCTTGGCGTCACTTTTAGTGTTTGAAGGAGCCAACAGTCGTGGTTAAATATTTTCAATCAGGTTTTTCCTTTTTCATTTTGTATCCGTTGTCAGTTCATATTAAGTATTTTTTCTTTTTACCAGTGTCAAAAGACATAATGTTTGAAATCAGTGGTGGGCATGGTTCCGCTAATCCGCTAACAGCTAATAGCAGGGATAATCTTTTGTTCAGTGGGTTAGCTTTTTCACAAACTATTAGCAGACCGATTAGCTTCCACTAAATTTGGTTTTGCCAACATAGTCTGTTAAAAGCTAATTAACAAACTAGCATCAACAGGTTTGTCCCACCAGTCTTCAGCTACAAGGAGATGAAGTCGTGTGTCATACTGACAGTCAGAGGCCTATAACGTACTTGAAAAAAATAACAAAGTAAAATTACATGAACAGAAAATGACTTTGGTAAAAATAAATTTCACTGATGAGAAAACTACTGAAGTAAAAGTCATAAAACTGTTCACAAAAATTAGAAAAGTAAAAGTACTTTTACACACTCTCTAAGAAATAAATTGTTGAATTTGCTGAACCAGGTTGAGTAAATTGAGCAATATATGTATTTTCTTTGCTCAGTTTACTCAACTAGGCTTAGTGGGGCCAGCTGACATGACTTTGTCGAGTAAATTCAACACTTCTTTTTTAGAGCAGAAACATCTAAGTAAAAGTAGCTATTTAAAAAATAATACTTGGTAAAATTACAAATCCTCAAAAAAATACTTAAGTACTGTAACAAAGTAAATGTACTTAGTTACTATAAACCTCTGCTGACAGTCATCTTAGCGGTTAGCTGTTAGTGTTAGCTTCTGCTAATGCATTAAGAAATATATATTTTTAGTTAGCAGCAGAGTTAGCAAAGCTTAATTTTCAGTTATCTTTGTCCACCACTGTTTAAAATCAATATATTTGGTAGAAAACTGAAATATGCATGTCGAACCAACTTGGAAAAAACAAAACAGCTTCATTTGTCATGTCAACATAACAGAAAGCTGATTAGTTTGATATGATCTTTAGCTGTTGTTGCAACAACAGTGGTTCTGGAATCCTGCACATACTTGTGTCAAGCTAATCTGAATAAATCTCTTTGTAGAGTCTGATCAGTATATTTGTAAAAGCAAAACGTTGAATAAAAGTTTTCCTTTTTTTAAAATTGTTCTGTCTTCAGATGTTGACGCTCGGTGTGGGTATCGGCGTGTTGCTATCGTCCTTCCTCCTGACGTACTTCGTCAGCTCAAAGGCAGACATGCTCTTCAGCTCGGGGAGGGAACCCGCCAGCGCCACCTACTGATCCATCTCAGGCCCGACACCACCACTACAACAATCACTGCTACTACCACTTCTATCCCAAACATGGAGAGTTTCCTTTTAAACAGCACGTGAAGGTACACCCACAGAGTTTCCTTTAAAAAAAAAAAAAAAAAAACCGACTCCGTGTTCGTGGACTCACTCAGGTGAGGCGTGACGGGACGACTGGAGTGGACTGGATGGATCCGGACTCATCAGGGTCAAACAAAAGCACTGGTCAGGCACCAGTGGGCCCTGTCAGTAGACAAGATCTTACTTTGTTTTAGGATTTTGTTTTCCCTTTTTATTTGTCAAAGAATGTTTTGTTTACTGTGTCATGGGATGCGCACTAAACATCGGACATTGTTTTGAGTGTGCGTGCGATTCTGAACGAGTGTGTGTGAGCAATTACAAGTGTGTGTGTGTGTGTTTGTATGGGGATTGCAATGGTATGTGCAATACTGTAACTGTCTTCTGTGTAAAATTAGTTAAATTAATGATCATTTCTAATAATAAGAAACCACTTTCTGAGCCAATGATCAAATTTGTAAAGTTTAAAATTTAGGCAACAATTGGAAATTTTAAATTTTGACACGTTTTAAGTGCAGAAAAGGCATTAGAAAATTAATCCCAGCACTCACTATTTGTGGATGAAAGTGTTGAGACGTTGCCGTTTCACTTGTTTGTGTATTTGAAAGGCAAAAATAAAGTCTAAAATTTTGGTGTGGCTAACAAACGTTTAAATCAGTCACGAACGTGTGGAAATTTGGAGTTTTAACACTGAAAAAGTGCTGGTACTCTGCCTGTGCACTCTGTTTAGTTCTTTCTTTCTTTTTTTTCCGCAACGTAAGGATTTATTTTGTAAATTATAACCACACACAAGATTTAAAATTTGTTGGGTGTCTATAAAATCAAAGATGTGATGCATTGATGGAATAAATAAATAAATTTTGCTTCTTTTTTTTTTTCAAATGTCTGAAATGAAATTCATACAAACTGTTAAAATAGATTTTTGATTATTTAGCCTTCATTTTAGCTTTAAACGCTAAATGTAAACGCTAAACAGAACCGCTGCTCGTTCCCGGGCTGTCCGTCTCACCCGGGGTGGAACCAGGGGCGGGGCCAATCCTGCGCTGGGGGCGGGGCTTCTGGAGCTACGGCTGAGTGGAGAGAAAGTGGAAAGTGAGAAAATACCTGAATGGACGAACTGGAATAAGTAAGTATTTTTGTTATTTTTAATGTGTTAAATGTTATGAGACGTGGGAGATGTGTGTGTGCGCGGAGGGAACCGAGGAGTGGAGCAGTTATGGCGATGATGAGCTCCGGTTTCTCCGAACAATAGTCGCGATGGTCGCCTCTTTCTTTTCTTTCTTCCATTTTTTTTTTAACCACAGGGAAGTTTCAGACCCTTATCGGGGGGCTATTGTTGCTTTCGCGGAGGCCTCGTAGCTTCTTGTAACGATTAAGTAGAAGCTTCGGGTCGAATTTTGTGACCAGAAGGTAAGAAATAAAAAAGGAGCTCGTCCGGTTTTTTTTTTTTTTTAAATAAGGCCGACGGGTTTGAATTTTCTCTGCGTCCATTCATTTGAGTCTGGAACCAAAACGGAACCGAACATTTACCATTTGGTTTCAGGACGCCAACATAGGAGGCCCTAAAGGGTCTCCTATTGTCCTGCCTTTCAACACCACCCTCCCTTCTTTTAGGTAACACAACAGTTTGTGTTAAAAGCTGCTCCTCACTGTGAGTTCACCTCCTTTGTGCGTGACATGCTGCTGAATTATTGATGTCCACATGTTAGTCCTTGCACACCTTTTCTCTTTTTCTACCTCCTTTTTTTTTGATGTCTGAAATTCAAACTGGCACAGGATAATAATGGTGCTGCAGCACAAACAGGCCCACATTACCTCAGCGTCAATGAGCCTTTCAGATACTGTACCTCCTGGCTTTATAAAGCTCCTTATTTCATACAGAAACTAAAGTTTGCTTTCAGGAAAAACTGCAAGATATTATAGTTATGAGTAAGAACCACTACAAAGAGAATAAACTGTCTTTAGCCAGCACATTTCACTGATAAAACAGGATATTAACAGAATATTATGTTATTATAAAGGAAACAACATAACTTTACACATTAAACTGTGACAGAAATATCTGTTTGTTTAAGATAAATGTATAGAAATAAGTTCTGTCCAAACAGCAATCTTAAATCCATGTAACTTGTCACTTTGTAGATGTAAAACTATTTTAAAACAAGATGTTTTGTTGCTTTTTTTGTTGTGTTTTATAAGCTTTGAATGAACTGAACCTTTAACTTAAACCAGTGGTTCTTAACCTTGTTTGAGGTACCGAACCCACCAGTTTCGTATGCGCATTCACTGAACCCTTTTTAGTGATAAATAATGATTTTTTTCTCCCAAATTCAAGACATAGGTATATGTTGGTTTTTTTTTTTTTTACTGGTGTATAAAATGAGCAGTGCATGAACATCACCCTGCTCAAAGAACAAAACCAACACAGTGCATGAACTCACAACAAATTACAGTATACTGCAAAAAATGTCCATCTTACCAAGTTTTAAAATCTTATATCAGCCAAGAAGTCTTTTTGATCTTGTTTTGAGACTGATTTACTAAACAAGAACTGATTATAAGAATAATAATCTTGTTTTCAGAATGTGTAAGATTATTTGTCTTGTTAGTCTGAAAATTTGACTCAAGTCAAAAATTTCTGCCAGTGGAGTAAGAAAATTTTACTTGGTAAGATTCTTGAAATAAGAAAAAATTGAGTCAAATCAAGTATTTCAAGAATCTTACCAAGTAAAATTTTCTTACTCCATTAGCAGAAATTTTTGACTTAACTTGAGTCAAATTTTCAGACTAACAAGACAAATAATCTTACACATTCTGAAAACAAGATTATTATTCTTACACAATCAGTTCTTGTTTAGTAAATCAGTCTGAAAACAAGATCAAAAAGACTTCTTGGCTGGATATAAGATTTTAAAACTTGGTAAGATGGACAGTTTTTGCAGTGTATGACTTTATTCTGGCCCCCAAAAAATAATTTGCCCCCCAAAAAAATTTCAGCCCCCCAAAAATATTTTTACTATTTTACTAAAAAAAACTAAACTGGGATTTTTTGAAGATTTTAACATTTTTAAATGATTTTTTTGTTTATTTTAAAGTTAATTTGCTTTTTGTCATTTTGACTCCACAAAATACTTTTTTGGGGCCAGCACTGATTGGCCAAGAAATCTCACGTGATCCTCTGCAGCAACTGATGACCAAGCGGGGCATGTCATCATGACTTGACACAAATGTGTCTTTACCTCCACAGCAGAGGCTCCACCGAACCCCTGAGACCGGCTCATCGAACCCCTAGGGTTCGTTCGAACCCAGGTTAAGAACCACTGTCTTAAACTATTAAATTGGACCATATGAACAGTATTTATTATAAAGAGGATAATATTCTCAATCATTAATCAGGTTTTAACAAGGAAACCTGATTAATGATTGAGAATATTATCCTGTATACTTAATACTGTTCATATGGTCCAATTTAATAGTTTAAGTTAAAGGATCAGTTCATTCAAAGCTTATAAAACACAACAAAAAAGCAACAAAACATCTTAACGGAGTGATATTTAATCCTCTGACTTCATGTGGACCAAAATATAGAGACCAAAGTTAAGAATTAAATCARCAATTCATTTATTTTTGCTTGTTTTAAAATAGATTAGCATCTTTTGTTATTATAAGCAAATTGTTTGCTGTACATGTTTTTGAAACTGGTCTTTTACTACATATTGTTACATAGATACACAACAGTGTCAGTATTTTTAGACCAAAACGCATCTAGATAAAGTTATGGCATTGGGAAAAAATCAGAACCGTCATGCATGTTGAACTAGGGCTGCCACAATTAATCGATTAATCGACGACTAATCGATTATTAAAATAATCGATGACTAATTTAATAATCGATTAATCGTTTTCTTTTTTTGTTGTTCTTTACTTTGTTTTTCTCTCCAAACTGCTTTGACACCTTCCACTGCCACATCTGCCTTTCTGTCCTTGACACACATGCACAGTAGTGGTAACTGGGGTAGGCCGTGGACGTCACAAGACATTATACAGACAGGCTCTGGTATCATGGCTACCCAGCAACGGAGCTCAAAAGTGTGGGATCATTTTAAGAAAATGAAAGAGAAACYTGTGTAATATCTGCAGAGCAGAACTTGCCTTCAACAGCAATTCTTTTTAGTTAGCATATAGCTAAAATCTAACCATGGTTATACAATAGCAGCTGCATTCTGACGTGATAAGCTGTATGTTTTATATTCAATTAACGTATGATCTGATTAGTCGACTAATCGAATAAATAATCTGTGATTAATCGATTAATAAAATAATCGTTTGTGGCWGCCCTAATGTGAACTCTAGGTCACTTTGTACCCCCATGTAGTACCCATGTTACCAATTTGTACCCAAATATTCGCTGTTACATTTTTTGTCTTTTAGATTTTTTCTCATGGGTCAAACATCTGAGCTATAAGTGACCAGAACCACTGGGGTGTGATAGTTTGGGTACAAAGTGACCAGAACCACATGTGATCCCAGGAATATATTCTGGTTGTGGCTAAATGTTAAACTGTTATAAAATGTCATTTAACCTTAATAATCTTAGTCTACACAGTTTTGCTATTTCTTATTTTCCCAGGAACTTTGTAGGTTTGGCTTTTCACTAAAAAAATAGTAATATTTATTTGTTTGATCCTCGACAGAGCAGTTATAGTGGCTACACGTCTGCATTAGCATCTGTTACCGGTCAAAATTTGGTAGAAAAATTTGTTAAAATATACATACCGAAAATAAAGGAATAAAATGCTTAAAAGGCACAAATTAGAAACAGGTGACAAATGAAATATCTGTATATAGCTTAAGTCTTTAAAGCGATAAATGAACCATCCTTCTACGCATTTAAAGAAAAGTTAGGAAGTTTTTAATGTCAGTTTCTACCGTTAAGAAAACAGTTAATGTCTTTTATCATGAATTTAGTTTTTTCTTGATAAATATAAATTATGTTTTATTTGGCACAGCTCACAGGTTTTAATTTTTCAAATGAGGAGTTTTGTGGCAATTTATAACCATAGATTTGTTGTTGTTGTTTTGTTTTGCTAAGCAAGCCAAGAAACAGTTCATTTATTGATTATGTGCTAAATAAATCGGTCAAGTGACTTGTTTCTTGTTTGTTTGTTTAAAACGAATCTAAAAGGTGCTTATTTGAATCCGTGGATGTCTGTGTTGATTCAAACATGCAGTGTGAGATTTGCACACACACACATACGGTCGCACACCTGTTAGTCAACTCTCAGTGTGTTAAAGCTGACAGCAGCAGTTGTCTGCTTTTCTGCTGGTTTTCCTGATGCTGCAGACGAGCGTGGGTGGTGATCAGTAATGTGTGTGTGTGTTTGTGTGTGTGTGTGTGTGTGGCCCTGATACGCCGGCGAGCCTCTTCCCCTGTTGGGATTCTGGGTGTGCGATGCTTGTTTTCACAGTTGGCTGCCGAGCGGAGCTGGTCATTTTCAGAGATGTCCCGACTCGCTGCCCCTCCCTGACAGCTGCCGTCCTGCAGCCAACTGCTCGAAATGTTTGATGACAGCTTGATCTTTCTTTTGGCCGCTGGGGGTAAAAAAATAAAAAGTCCATCTGCTTTTTTTTTTTTTAAAGCCATAAAACTGCAGCAGAAGTTGGATTTTATTGAAATTTTTGTTGTTTTAATTGAGGTTTTTGCTACTCAGATACTTTTCAGATGGCTTAAAATATCATTATATTCAACAGAAACCTAAAGATAAAAAGATATTTTAGTTATAAATGCAAAAAAAAAAAATCATAGTAATGCAAAATGAATGAGAAATTGTTTGTTAAATAGAAGCAGGATGGTTAAAATGTATTTTTAAAATTTCCATCCTTTAGTTTTGGAGTCTAGTATTTATTTTTTTGTAGTTTACCTTTAGGCATTTTGCTTAAATTAGAGCAGCTGTTTCCTGTGATAATTCAGTAATAATAGTGTATTAGATTCGGGGCTCAGCGGCCAGTGCAGAAACACAAACGTTAAACTAATTACAGGACGTGTACTGTAAAACAAGCTAACATCCTGCTGACAGTATTTTACTGGTAATGTAGAAGGTGATGCTGTGGTAAAATAGGACCTAA